GTACGGTACAGCAGCTCATAGTTGAGGTATACCTATGATGAAAATTACAGGCCTCTCTCATCTTTTTAAATGGGAGAACTTACACAAATGGTGGCTGACTAAATACTTTTTTGCCCCACTGTATATACAAACACAGTTTGTTCTTTGGTACCTTCATAAAATAATAGCATTTTTCTAAGTAATGGCACACTTGTGTGCTGATACCACCTAGTCTGTTCCTCAGGAACGTCTGGTTCACTGATTAAATATAAACATACTTGGTTGAAACTGAAAATTATCTCCTAGGATCTAGCACGTATAGGTGCAACCAACCGTAAACTGTACAAACATAGATTGTATATTGATTAATAGCAGTGCCTCATAATAAAAAGACATTGCATAATTCAGCAAATTAGCACAAAAGATTGGTAGGTGTGTATGACCAATAGATCACTGCTTCATCAGAAATAAAGCATTTTATTTGTTAAAATTGTCATTAGTGCAAGGGTCTTAAACCAAAATGGAATATTTACATGTTCATACTAAGTTAAGCAAAAAACAGAGTGAGGTTCTTTAGTATTTTTAAAGTTAGAGTAAGGCAAATAAAAATCCACCACTGCTCTTGGTCCAAGCTAGTCAAACCTAAAAAAAAAAATGATTGTCTATAGTACTATTTAAATACATCTGTTTGAAAAATGCTTTAAAACTGGCTTTTCACAAGGAAACAAAAGTTACAGAATTGGTCTTTTTAGGAGGATGACAGGTTTCCATTTCTCCTAGAAGATATTCCATCAGGGGATTGTAGATCACTTATGTGGGTTGCACTTTCTTCATCGTGATTAAATAGTTCGTATGTGTTTGGCAGACAGCCATTTATTCCTTTGTCATCTTTATGCAATGTCACAGGCAAAGTTGCTAGGGAAAAATTGACATCCTTAAAGGCATGCAATAAAAATATCCCTACTATTATAGTGATAAAGCCACTAAATGTGCCAATAATGTCATCAGCTGCCATGTGTTGCCATTCCTTGAAGAGGATCGCAGAACAGGTTAAAACAGATGTTGTGAAGAACACATAATATATTGGTGTCACTATAGAAGTGTTGAATATGTCCAGGGCCCGATTTAAATAATTAATCTGTATGCTTATGCAAACAATAAGACTTAGCAGCAGAATCCAGGCCAACGGATGTTTCAGCACAGGTTGTCCAGCAAAAAGTTCCTTTATAGCAATGCCCAAACCTTTTACACAGGATACAGATAAAGCTCCAATGACTGAGCAAATTGTTATGTACACGAGAATGTTGGTCTGCCCATGCCGGGGTCCCACTACAAAGATCATGATCAAGGATACAATGACAATGAGTGTTGCAAAGACCACAAAACCTGAAATATTAAAAACAAACATGGCATGCTGCAATTGCACATGCTAAGTAATAACACATTTTGAAAACATACAAACACCTGGAGCCTGTCAAAAGTTACATGATCAGCTAAAGAAGGGCAGGAACTCAATTTGGCCAAAAGTTACACTTTGTAGAGTGGTGATATTTTCTTTCGGGGGTGGGCTATTCTGGAAGAAGGAGTGGTTGATTGTCTGAAAGGCTGAATGCTCCATATTACAA